TCCTGGGGCCTCCTGGGGCCTCCTGGGGACCTACTGGGGCTTCTTGGGGCCTCCAGGAGCCTCTTTGGGCCCCCTGGGGCCTCCTGGGACCTCCTAGGGAGGATTCGTGCCCGAGGAGAGGCCCAATCTATAGCAACAGTCGTACATAAAACATTGCGACTTGGAGCCGCAGAAAAAAAAGGGACAATCTATAGGAACACGCGTACAACACCAAGGAGTCGTGCCCTAGGAGAGGCCCTATAGGAACATAAGTACACAGGATATGGACAATCTATAGAAACATACGTATAACATCAAGGATTCGTGCCCCAGGTGAGGCCCAATATATGAGAGCATACGTAAAACACATGGGATTGGAACCACCCCTGTTGCCTTCTGAGGCCTCCTGCTCCTGGGGCCTCTCGGGGCCTCCTGTTGCCCTCCGGAGACCTCCTGGCGCTTCCTCTGGCCTCCTGGGGCCTCCTGTGGCTTCCTGAAGCCTCCAGGAGCTTCCTGGGGCCTCCTAGAGCCTCTTGGGGCATCCTGTGGCCTCTTGGGTCTTTCTGTGGCATCCTGATTCATCCTGGGACCTCATGTGGTCTCCACGGGCCTCCTGGAACCTGTTGGAGCCTCCTGTGGCATCCCCAGGAAAACCAGCGCCCACGAGTCTGGCCACCGATCGAGACATCCTCAAAATCTGGCCCACCTGGGGGGGTGAAGTGGAGCGCCTCGCTCGAGACATCCTCCAAATCTACTCCGAGAGCGAAGGATGCTGGGACAGAAAACAAGCACACCGCTTGAGACATCCCCACAAAACGGCTGCGAACGGGACCGTGAGAGAACCATTGGCGGCTCCCCTTAAGGTGGTGAATATGAGCGCCCCCCGCCAGTCCTCCTGCCAAGGGAACCTGGCTGTGGTTTTCGGCGACGCACCAGCGCCCTTGGCTAACAGCGTTGCAACGCACGCGCTGCATTACGCGGAAGTAGTAAGATGATATGTTTCTGACCTGATGCGTGGGCGCGCACGGCGCGGGCCTACATGGCGCGTCGAAGGCGCCTGACACACGCCCGCGATACTATTCACGACCGAAATCGGAAAATTAGCTCCGGCGGCGCACATGCGGTGGGACACGCGTGCGTTCGGCATCACCCGCGCGAGGTGGCTAACAATTTCGCGGCGTTGCGCTAAAAATGCCATTGTGCCCAACATCGTTTCGAAGCGCGCTGCGGTGCGCCGCGCAAGCGCGCGTGGACTGCGGCCTGCGTGCGGCCCGCGCACTAGTACGAGCGATTGAATCTGAAAGGGCCAGGCGCGGCACGTGCGCCATGAAAACGCGGCACACGGCAAAAGCAGTTACGAGAAGGAAACTCGCGCGATTCGCGTGCCTCCGTCGACCGAAATCGCTAAATCAGGGCAAGCGATCGGCGACGACCGCGTTTGACGCCACCAATAAATACATGAAAAATGCAAAAACAAATTTGTCGAGGCCCTCGTTTTGTTTCCTGGTGGGCGCAACACCTGACGATTTTGTTTGATCCTGGCGCGGCGGGTCGTTTGATTTTGGTTTTCTGTTTTGGTCCATTGTGGTCCCCTGGAGGGCGCGAAATGAGGCCGAACGCGGCCTGAGGAAGGGGACAAGGGGCGAAGCTGGCTCCAAGATGGCTCAAGATGGCCTCAGGGCTCCAAGAGGCCCCGAGAAGGCCCCAAGAGGGCCCCAAGACAGACCTAATTAGGATCACCCGGAAGGCCTCTGCGGGGTGATTCTAATTGGGGCTCTCTTGGGGCCCTCTCGGGGGCCTCTTGGGGCCGAAGCTGGCCGTAAAGAGCGCTCCAGATGGCCTCCAGACGACGTCAAGAGCGCCTTAAGAGGTGCCCAAGAGGGTTCCACGAGGGCTCCAAGACGGACCCAATTAGGATCACCCGGAAGGCCTCTGCCGGGTGATCCTAGTTGGGGCTCTCTTGGGGCTCTCTCGAGGCCTTTTGGGGCCGAAGCTGGCCGTAAAGAGAGGCCAAGATGGCCTCCAGACGCCTCCAAGAGGGCCTGAAGAGGCCTCCAAGAGGGCTCCAAGAGGGCCGAAGATGGCCCCAATATGGCCCAACATGGCCCTAAGATCGCCTCAAGACGCCTCCACGAGGGGCCTCTAGAGGGTCCCAAGAGGGCCCCAAAACGGACTCAATTAGGATCCCAATTAGGAGTTCAAGGGTGCGGCACGCCCAGGTCTCGGCGGCAGGGAGAGGGCGGGTTTCGCAGCTTGTGGCACACGCCGTTCAGAACTATCGAAAGTCGGATCTTGTGGCTGGAGAGTGTGAAGCAAGAGCACGAGCTCGCGTGGCCACTCTTTCGCAAGCACGCCGACGACGACGACGCGCCTGAAGAGGAGGTGCGCAAGTCTGCTTGGGTGCAGCGAGTGTTGGGCGAGTTGTCAGCCCATGCGGAATCGCGGGGTCAGGAAGAAGAGGGCGGACCGAGCGCCCAGGTGGGTATTGTTGTGGATTCACATTCCAACGGGTGCTGGTCGTAGTAGTAGTAGTAGTAGTAGTAGTAGTAGTAGTAGTAGTAGTAGTAGTAGTAGTAGTAGTAGTAGTAGTAGTAGTAGTAGTAGTAGTAGTACTAGTAGTAGTAGTAGTAGTAGTAGTAGTAGTAGTAGTAGTAGTAGTAGTCGCAAACGTACTCGTGGTCGTGATAGTAGCGGTGCTAGTATGAGTCGTGGTCGTAGACGTAGTAGTCGTAGTCGGAGTAGTAGTAGTAGTACTGGTAGTAGTCGTAGTAGTAGTAGTAGTAGTAGTAGTAGTAGTAGTAGTAGTAGTAGTAGTAGTAGTAGTAGTAGTAGTAGTAGTAGTAGTAGTAGTAGTAGTAGTAGTAGTCGTAGTAGTAGTAGTAGGTAGTAGTAGTAGTAGTAGCCTAGTCTAGTGAGTAGTCGTAGTCCCGTAGGTACCTCTGTGTAGTAGTCAGGTCAGCGCGGGTCAGCGCAAGTCAGCGCAGGTCAGCGCAGGTCCTCACAGAACGACGCAGGACGGCACGGGTCTCGGACAGGGAGGACAGGGCACAATCTGAGCTGCGCTGACCTGCGCTGACCTGCGCTGACCTGCGCTGACTGGCCTGACCTGCGCTGACCTGCGCTGACCTGCGCTGACCTGCGCTGACTGGCCTGACCTGCGCTGACCCCGTTGACCTGCGCTGACCTGCGCTGACCCGCGCCGGTAGCATTTGAAAGCCGTTTCCGGATACAATGCAAAACCACGTGCGTCAGCGCCAACGTTTGTTTGTCCACCAACGCCCTTCAATCTGACGCAGCGGCGCAACTAGGACTAGCACAGGCAGCGTGCCAACAGCGGACCAAAATGGAGTAAACGCACGGTTGGGCTAACTTTTTTCGGTCGCGTCCACTAGCGAAGGCGCTAGCGGAGTCAGGAGCGCTACGGGACACGAAAGCGGCCTAAATTAGCTACTAGACGCGCCGCAGGCCGGCCAGCCCACTCACCCAGCAGCGGCTGACTGCGCGGGGGAGACGGCGAGCTGAGGGCGTCCAGGGAAGCTCGGGCACTTGACGTTTGGGCTAACACGCGTCGGGAAGATCATATCGATCCCGTGGCCTATGCGCGCATACGCACCCACACTTTGTGGAACAGGGTGCATGAGGTCGGCACAGTAAAAATGATCTCGCGGCCGAGGCTGGCTTAGACTTGGACACCAAAGACAAAACTGAATGCGGGCGACCGTGAACAGCAGCCGCGAAACTCGGCGGCGCACATGGGTGGCGGACAGACGCGAACATGGCCGAGCGTGTAGTGCAGACGCCAGCGTTAAAACAGCAAACCCCAACCGCAACCAGAAGCGCGAAGGGCTACCGGCGAGGCAGGCGAAAACAAATTCAGACAAGATGGGGCAACCATCTAGGCCAAAACGAGACTATGCGCATCACCGCAAAGACACACGCACACACACACACACATCGCGCTATTACACGGACATGGTGATTGGGGGGGCAGAGTGGAATCGATGCGTGGACTACATGTCGCCATGACGATATCACTACCGATGGTGATTGTTCTCTAGACTCCTATTCCTTCCACTCCCTCCCTCCCTCGCCATGCGGACCGCGTCTATTCGGCATGAGGGAAACGGGTCCTGGACCCCAGGGTTTGCCCCTGCACAAATTCTTATTCCGAATCGTGTTCATGCCCGCTTTTTCTATTTTCCGGGCAACAGTCGTTACCCAGGGGTGGGAGGGAGTCGGGCGGGAGGGAAACGCTAACGGCGGCCGCGGCGTGCACCCGCCAGGGTGCGTCCGCGCCTCCGGCGCATCAACCGCCTGCGTGCACCACAGTCCCTGCGTACACGACAAATGCCCAATGCCTGCGTGCAACACAGCGCCGCCTATGTACACAACAATCCCTCCGTACAGCAGCCGCGTGCACCGCAGCACCACGCCACCTATGTGAGCAGCAAAGCATGCCATTCAGCATCGCGCCATGCCTGCGAGCACGGCGCTCAGGGGGGGCCTAGGCCACCCACCTGTAGGATCGTCAGCATTGACCCAGGGAGGGGGGGGGGGGAGCGGCAACGAGCGTTATCCTGGGGAGGAGCAAACAAAAACGCTCAGTTCTGACGGTCCTGGGCCCTTGGGCCCAGGAATGGCCTGGGAAGCCGAAAACAGTAAGAAACCTCGGGGCCTCTTGCCCTCAAGACACCGTTTCTTCAGAACCGATCAATTGTGTGCGCTCATGTTCCTCCTCCTCCTCCACTTCCTCCTCCTCCTCCTCCCCGTTCTCCTCCTGTGATAGAAGAACAAGACTACTCCGAAGCACTACTCCACAAACCTCGCCCAAGCCTACTCGAGAGCGTTCTGCCCAAACACTTCCCACGAGAAGCTAGCTATGGCGACGAGAGCGCATCTGAGACCTGCAGCGGCATCAAGACCTCTTGCTCCTCTGAGATATGCAGATCTATCATATTCGGAAACAGTTCCCCTGATTCCTCTTTGATTTTGCTTTCCTTCGATGTGGCCCGCTGGCCCGCCTGCGGCGACGATGGCGGCCCACAAGGTCAGGGAAGAGGCCAGCGAAGGGCAGGGCGCCAGGTCGCCCGGGGCGTCCTCGAAGCTGGCGCGCACCCGCCGCCAGGTGCGCTGGCCCGCCTCTCGCCACAGGGAGCAATGCAACGAAAACTGATAGGAGAGATGATGCGCGATACAGGAGACCCGAACAAGGAGGGACGTGGAGGGAGAGGATGTGGCAAAGGACGAGCGAGAGAACAAGGAGGAGGAGGCAGAGGGAGGGCGAGGCTGGCTCATACATCAGCCGGATTCATCTGAACTTGCAGTCGGACCTAGGCCAGAATAACATCCTTCAAGAGCATGAGACCCTTGGCCGGCTAAAACGAATCGCGCATCCTATGAAACCCTCCTCGGGATGCACAAGAGCATCCAGCAAACACGAAGAATGCTAGGGTAGCCTCCCCGAAACGACCTCGACTTTATACCTCGGTCCGGCTGACAGGCTTGGACGTACATGTCGAAGCTTCGAGCGCGGCTTGCCATCGACAGTGGTTCACCATTAGCCTAACAGTGAAACATGCCAGGTTCCCCTTGGCAAAGCTGCTCATCGTGATAATCGTTTTCGACTGTATGAATGCTTGTACTGTAACATAGGTATCGCCAAAGGTATTCCACATCCCTAATACAAACCTCGAATCACCCCTTGCGCAGCCCTGGAACGGCCTCGCACAACCCCCCTTTGAACAAGAGGCGCAAACTTGATTTCTGCCTTGACACATAGCAGTGCGCAATGATGGCAGTCGTGGCCGGATGTCCGCGCGGATTTCTTTGATCGGCTCTGGGTTCTCCTTGGCGGCGCCTCCGGCGCCGCCCCAAGGGAGCTTCGGGCGCGATGAAGGGGTGCCCAGCGCCAATGGAAGATATCCACGCAGACCTTCAAACATGTTTATTTGTGCAGCCTGTCCCTCATATTCGAGATGAAGAACTAGTAGCAACAACACGAATTGCCATCGCAGCAGAGACGGCATCATCAATAAACGTGGGAGTTGAAATTGGAATGGTAGAATAGCCACTGGTAAGTATCCATGGGGCTAATACCAATTGGGATGCAACTAGCATCAAAAACGTATTGGAGAGCCGCATCAAACTCAGTCGGACTAGACATATAACTAATTGTGCCATGCTAGTGGTGGTGACGGTAGCAGTAGTAGCAGCACCCCTGCCAGCACAGAGGTGGCAGCAGCACCAATTGCAACAGCGATTGTGGCACATAAGAGCAAAGGCATGAAAATCCCAGTTACACTTTTCCTACCCATTTGACCAAGGAGGACGGGCAAAAGAGCCTAAACAAAAATACGTAAGCAACACGCCTTGAAGACTACCCCACCAAATCTCCGTGGCTGCCAGGAGTGGTGCTGGCTGGCCAATGGCGTCCCCAACTTCTCGCGCCATCTTTTTTCCCCACATCCAAAGTGGGGTTCTTGTTTTCTCTGGACACACTCCGCGCAGGAACCTTCCTCTGCCTCTCCGCCTCACTCACGCATACACCCCGTCATCGGTCATCATCACCATCGGTCATCATCATCACCACCACCATCATCATCATACTCAGTCACTCCCCATCGATCACCATCACCATCGGCCGTCGATCATCAACATCATCATCATCATCATCATCAGCAGCAGCAGCATCATCCTCATCATCATCATCAGCACCATCATCATCATCATCAACATCACCACAGCCATCATCATCATCATCATCATCATCATCAGCATCAGCATCATCATCATCATCAATACCATCAGCATCAGCATCATCATCATCATCATCATCATCATCATCATCATCATCTGCATCATCATCATCACTATCATGATCATCACCATCACCGTCACCATCATCATCACCGTCATCATCATACGCAATCGTACATCGTACACACTCCCTCGCTCATCACTCAGCATCATGATCCGGAGGCCTGAACATGGGGAAAGTATCAGGCGGGAGGCTCGTTTACGAGTGAATTGCGAGGAACTCTCAGGCGGAAGCTCTCCCCCTATGGGACCCGCACTTCATGTTTCCAACCCGAGCGGGCCATCCTCGAACCTGTACCAGTCGTCACTTATGGGCTCCTGAGGCCTGAACATAGGGGAAGTATCAGGCGGGAGGCTCGTCTGTGAGTGACTTGCGAGGAAGTCTGAGGCGGGAACCCTCTCCCTATGGGCCCGCACTTCATGCTCTATCTCGAGCGGGTCAACCTCGAACCTGTAACAGTCGTCATGTTTGGGCTTTGGAGGCCTCCATTGGGGAAGTATCAGGCGGGAGGCTCGTCTGTGAGTGAATTGCGAAGAAACCTCAGGCAGGAACCCTCCCCCTTATGGGGCTCGTACTTCATGTTTTTACCCCGAGCGGGCGATCCTCGAACCTATAACTGTCGTCATGCTTGGGCTCATGAGGCCTGACTATGAAGTATTCGGCAGCAGGCTCGTCTGTGAGTGAGTTGCGGAGAAGTCTCAGGCGGGAGCCCTCTCCCTATGGAGCCAGCACGTCATGTTTCTAATCCGAGCGGGCCATCCTCGAACCTGTAACTGTTGTCACTGTTGGGTTCCCGAGGCCTGAACATAGGGGATGTATCAGGCGGGAGGCTCGTCTGTGAGTGAATTGCGAGGAAGTCTGAGGCGGGAAGCCTTTTCCCTATGGGGCCCCGCATCTCGCGTTTGTAATACGAGCGTTTCAAACCTGTAACTGTCGTCACTTGTGGGCTCCTGAGGCCTGAACATGGGGGAAGTATCAGGCGGGAGGCTCGTCTGTGAATGAATTGCGAGGAAATCTCAAGCGGGAACCTTTCCCTATAGGGGCTTGCACTTCAAGTTTCCAACCCGAGCGGGCCATCCTCGAACCTGTACCAGTCGTCACGTTTGGGCTCCTGAGGCCTGAATATGGGAGAAGTACCAGGCGGGAGGCTCGTCTGTGAGTGACTTGCGAGGAAGACTCAGGTGGGAGCCCTTCCTCTATGAAGCCCGCACTTCATGGTGTTAATGTAACCCTCGAACCTGCAACTGTCGTGATTTGTCGGTTCTTGAAGCCTGAGTATGGGGGACGTATCAGGCGGGAGGCTCGTCCGTGAGTGAATTGCTAGGAAGTCTCTGGCGGGAGCCCTCTCCCAATGGACTCGCACTTCATGCTTTTAATCCGAGCGGGTCATCCTCGAACCTATAACTGTCGCCACGTTTGGGCTCATGATGCCTGACTATGGGTGATGTATTAGGATGGAGGCTCGTCAGCGGGGAAGTCTCAGGCGGGAACCCTCCCCTTATGGGGCCTCCTGCACCCTATGTTGTTAATCAGAGCGGGCCATCCTCGAGCTTGTAACTGTCGTCACGTTGGGGCTCCTCAGGCCTGAACGTGGGGGAAGTATCAGGCGGGAGGCTCGTCTGCGAGTGAATTGCGGGGAAGTCTCAGGCGGGAGCCCTCTCCATATAGGGGCTTGCACTTGAAGTTTCCAATCTGGGCGGGCCATCCTCGACCCTGTAACTGTCGCCATGGTTGGGCCACTGAGGCCTGACTATGGGGGAAGTATCAGGCGGGAGGCTCGTCTGTGAGTGATTTGCGAGGAAGTCTGAGGCGGGAACCCTCTCCCTATGGAGCCCGCACGTCATGTTCTTTTATCCGAGCAGGTCATCATCGAACCTGTAACTGTCGTCACGTTTGGGCTCCTGGGGCCCGAATATGGGGGAAGTATCAGGCGGGAGCCTCGTCTGTGAGTGAACTGTGAGGAAGTCTCAGGCGGGAGCCTCTTCCCTATGGGGCCCGCACGGCAGTGAAGGCTATTCACAAATTAGCCGAGAGGATTTTCATGTAGGGTCTTCCCGTCGGAGTAAGTATCTGTTCTATTCTGCGCGCAGGGCCGCAAGAAACGCCGCATATCCCAACTTACGCGACGGCCGCTGTAGCCAGCCCCGCGCTCCCCACACACCCCAACTTCCCGCGCCAACTTGGAGCCCCTGGGGCCCTCCGAGGCGTTCGCGAGGGGTGCCCTGGAGGTCATCTGGGCCTCCTCGAACATCCTGGGGGCACCTCGAGCCAGGGACACTCCTTGGTTGCGTGAGAACCGACCCCTGACCAAAAGCAACATGACTGCCCATGCTGGGCATAAGACGGCAACTCTCTACCGCTTGACCGCTCAGTACGAACCACGTCTACATCGCAAAGCGAGGGGAGGGCTGGGAAGTGGCCTGCAATTCATTCACAGAACATCTTCCCCCGATTCTGGCCGCCGCGATCGCCGCGGCGATCTCCGAAACCGACCCCGAAATCCGAATCGGGGTTACATCCGACCAACGGGGCGACGAGCCCCACTAGAACCGCCGCCGCTGGAACCAAGGCTCCTCTCAGGCAGACGCCCGCAGCGACGAACCAGCGAAGCGAGCAAGGCGAGGAAGATCGAGACATCCGACATCTCGCTTCTGTTCCAACGCGTGGGACTCGGGAACTGCCGACCAAAACACCCGTGACCCTGAATCTGCTAAGGAGGGCTTCCTCGTTCCTCTGCAACGCCCCGTTCGACCCGTCAGCTCACCGTAGGTCGTGTTTGCTGCACCACGCCTCGAGCAGCCTACCTCGTTAGTTGTTTCAGGGGATCGGACAACTTTGTTCAGATTATCTCCTTGTAGTATCACGCCGTGGGGCCGCGGGGTGTAATCTCGCAGTCCCCTGTGGGCCCGGCACAAGCCACGGCGTGCCTTGGAAATCTGACAACAACAACAACAGCAACAACAACAGCAGCAATCACTTTACCCGAACGCTCAGTGTTCTCACCAGTGCCAGGGTTTTCATGCGACGCCAGCCAATACCCCCACTTTGTGGGGGGGCAGTGCAAGCTCTACCAAATATCCACACGACTCTTCGCCACCACCCACACCCAGCTTCCCGCCCTATGACGTTCGGACACTTCACTTCGTGGCCTGCGGACGACCGTGGCTACTACACTGGCGTGGAGTACACACCCACAGAAGTTGTTAAGCCTACGTTCGTACACCCACAGAAGTTGTTAAGCCTTGTTAACCCACAGAAGTTGTTAAGCCTTCCACAGAACATCTGTTGCATATGATGCATATGGTACATGATACACATGATACACATGATACGTACTCACAAGATAGTTGATCACATCTTTAGGGCAAATTCCTGAGGGATGTGGGAATACACAAGTGTCCCGCATGGTATTATTTGACAGGGATGATGGCCCTGGCAGGTGCGCAACCGTTGTCGCAGAAGTTCGAAAAAGTTGCTCGCAAAAGCCCGTTTGACAGAAATGTTTAAAAAGTGTTGGGTTTCCTACGAATCCGCAAGAGCGCGCGGGATGAGATTTTGACAATTTTTTGTTGAAAAACCATTGGTTTTTTGATGTTTTTATGTTAAAATCGCTGCGAACACTAAGGTTTTGGAAGGATTTCGTCTTGCGCGCGCGAATGTCCACTTTACCTTATTTTTTGCAAGGGATTCTTGAAATTTGATTATATTAGAACAAGAAATGTCATTTTCTATTGTTTTTTGCAAGGGAAAGCGGATTACAACAAAACAACCGGATCCTGTACACACCCTCTTTTCTGAGGCTTCCTCACGAAAATGATGAAAATGTAGCTGCGGCCTAGGCGGCGCAGGGGGGGCGCGCACCAGGGGGCCCAACAATAATTATTCTTTAGAATAAATAATGTTCAACAACAACAGCAGCAACAACAACAGCAACAACAACAACAACAGCAACAGCCGCACGGTCCGTATAGGGGTGGGCCATCAGGGCCCTTTCGGCGATGAGCAGGCGACTGCTGGCCGCGGCATCCCCCCCTCAAGCCTATCCTGCCCAGGGATCCTTGTCGTCTCGGTTTCGGCTCAGACGTCGGCTCTCCTGCGGCCGCTCTGGACGATCTGGGCACGCCTGGAACGCTCTCGGCATCCCGAGGTTGGAGACGCAGCCTCTGGAACGCATCCCGAATTCGGTAAACCGCCGAGAACGGACGAAAGCGCTCACAAACCGCAGACCTCGATCCTGCTGAGCCTATCCCCTCCCTAACGGTGCTCCTGTCGAGGACTAACAGACCCCCCTTCACAAAATGCCCTGTAGCGCAGACTGCTATGGCACTCCACGGCTGCGCGCAGCACTGCGTTCGAGCAGAAAATAACCCATCTACGCCCGAAAACAGCCGAGTGCATCTGGCGACACGCATGCCGACTGGAGAACCGACCAGGGACTGCACTAGCACTCTCGTGTGCCAATGTGGAAAATGGACCTGTGCAGACTTCCTCAGTCGCCATGTCTTGGTGAGCGCTCTCTCCATGTCCGACCCTGGAGCAGGTGGGGGGCAACGATAGCGGGGGACTGGCATAGGGGGGGGGATGCATCGACCTGGAATCGGCGATACATCGCCGATAGATCGGCGGTAGGCCCCTAAAAGTGAATCCGCACCTTCCTGGGCAGGTTGGGGCTATCGGGCCCCTATCGGCGATCAATGGGCGATTGCGTGTCGATGCATCCCCCCCTATGCCCATCCCCCCCTATCGTTGCCCCTGAACAGGGGGGGCCTGGAGAGCTCCGGCGGCACCGGCGTCCGGATCCAGCACCAGCCGCACGCTCAGCCGCTCCAGCAGGAACGCGCGGCCGCCGCGCGACGGCTCGGAGGTGGCAGCAGAGTTGCGGGTGCCCCACGCGGGCGGGGCGCTGTGAGCGCCCTTCCCGTCCCTCTCGTCGCAATCGCTAGCAGGGGTTTAACCGAGCAGCAAAGGCAAACCTAAACATAGCCGAGACCCGACCTACGAGAAAAACAAAAACAGAGAGAGAGAGAGAGAGAAAAACAATAAAACATAAAAAACGGAGGACGAGCAAATCGTCATCGTCCTCGTTCCCTCCCTCCTGACCCTGGCGCGCCCGCCCGCAGACGAGCGACACCAACCTTCTCGGCTTTACTATTTTGCCACGCTGATACTTACGCAGGACAAAAGAGGTCCCTCTTGAGGTGAAAATGGCGCGACTTCGACAGATAACATCGGCGCCGCCGAACGGACGGCGTCTAAACGAGCTGCGTGCAGCTCGTCCAGGAGGAGAAATACACATTCATGTTGAGAGGGGCCCCCGCGGGCGGAAAATTGACGGAAATGCACGGGACAGCACAGGCTCCATCCTGGGACGTTGATGACCGGAACCCATTCCTTCGTAGAATGTTGAAACGGGCGGGTTCCGGGGACCTCTCATCCGATTTCGTCTGGTTCCCCGTTTGAATTGGAAACGTAACTTTTTAAACAGGGTGATACTCTGACCCGCCGTAAAAAAACTAAGTGTATATATATATATATATATAACGGGGTAGAAATCGGATCCGCCGTAAAGAAGGCCCGACGCGGATCTAGGAAATACGAAATCGGATCCGCGCGGACGGAAAGACGATCCACCGATGTAAATAACCACACCCGCAATTGGATCCGCTCGACCTTCATGGGGTCCGGCGGCGGTTATCTCATACGCGTATGCTCAAGAGTTCAAACCGTCGTTCCGGGCCCAAGAGGAAAAAACATCGTCCTGAGGATGTATTGTGGGCTCTACCCCTTTTTGCTCCTCCTGCACATCTTCATCCACTTGCTTGACCTGCTGCTTCTCCTCCTCGGCTCGACTTATTTGTCCTCCGCCTTGCTCCTTCGCGAAATAATCTTGTCTCGTCGTCTCCCCGCCCCATGTTTCCGCCCACCGTCTTCCGTGACCACCTCTTTATCCTCCTCCTCCTACGCCTCCTCCTTCTCCTCCTGCTCCTCCTCCTCCTCCTCCTCCTCCTCCTCATCATCATCATCATCATCCTCTTCCTCCTCACGTTGTCCGAAGCAGGAGCATGGGAAGAGGAAGGAATGAGGGGAGAACAAGGGGGATGGGGGGCGAGCTGCTAGTGCGGTGTGCTCGCCGAAGATAGCTAGGCCACGGTGCCCGGCGGCCCTGGAAAGGGAGGCGGGGTCAAACGCGACTCACAAACGCGATTTGTTTGTTGCGATGCAGTGGCGTCGGCGCCTTGTAGCGTGCTGGCCGGCTCCGCTGGCGGCGTCCCTTGTTGAGTTAGGGTGCCGCGCCTGCAGCGGCGGTATGACTGATTCGGGACCATCCATGCAGGCCCAAAAGGAGCTGGCGCACGGACGCCAATGACTGTTGATCGACACGAATGGGCCCCCCAGTTCGCGCATCGCCTAGTGCTGGTGCACTGGGAAAGGCCAGCCGAGGTTGGCAAGGTCAGAATGACAGTGGCCGAAGGACCGTGCGTCGAGAAGTTCTAGGTCATTGAGGGCGGTCCGCGGCGTCTCGCGAAACCGCCAGATGGCGCAAGTGAGGCTCGCTACGAGACCTCGGGCGCCATCCGCTGACACCAGCCCCTGGCCCAGACGTCCAAACCGCGGGTTCCTGATTGAGGCACTCGATGAACGTGCTGGGCATGTTGAACTGCTTGAGCCGACCGATCGAGTCCGCGAGCTTCTTCACCGCCTCCAGTTGATCTTAAGGTGGCCCCGCCTGCCCGATCTGCTCCTTATCTCTGTCCGCGAACTTGTCCTGCAGTTTCCATCTGCAGGTAGCGTCAGAGACGGAACACAAGGTCCCGATGTCTTCCACCTCGTGATGCGGATCATGCCTCACCTTGCCACCAGCCTCGAATTTGCCCTGTGGCCGCCGCGCGAAGATAGTTGCTCTTAAGATGGGTGTGTGGGGTCCTGAGGGGTATCCAGTAAAAACTGCTGCAACTCACCCTGGAGCTCGCAGACGATCCTCTCGCCGCGGTGTCGTCGCCAACGTGTCGACCAAATGATCCGCGAGCTCGCCCTCGAAAGACTCCTTGACCTTGATTCCCATTCTAGTCATGACCTCGGCCGCGCCAGTCGTTCGTATCGCTGACAGCCTCGGTGTTGCTCTTCCTGAGGCTCGGAACAGATGGCGCAGGCGGGAGCGCGAGACCGCCACCGCCCTCGCATAGATCCGTCTTCATCGTGGTGGGGTCGCCGATCCTCTCGAACTCGGACCGCCTGCCCGATCCTCGTCTGGCCGCCGTGGCCCGCACGGAGCCGCTCTTTCGGCGCCCACGCGAAGTACTGCTCGATCTTCTTCTCGAGACCATGCTCGGGTATGTCCTGCAGCTGTCCCTCCAGCGGGGCGGTGCGCAGGGCAAGGGTGGCGATGTCCTCAAGCATCGCCTTCTCGATCTTCTCCTCTCAACCATCATCGAACTCGCCATGCAACTTTGTGTCCTGCAGGGTATTGCCCATGGCGGGTTTGCCGAATCCCTCTGGCACCTGGTCCGCGTTGGCGTTGGCGTCGGGCTCCTCCGCATCGACTTCCGTAGCTTCCATTTGCTCCCCAGGCTGAAAACAACGAGTTCACAGCCACGTCCGAAGTCGCCGACTCAAGGAGGGTCTTCTCCTCCTGCTCGGTCTCCTGCTCGAACGTCGCCTTGGGCATCTCCGAGTTGCCGTTGTAGAGCTTCTCCTCCCCGGCGCTGGACGTGTCGAAACCCGTGGCGCTGATCGCCACCTGCGTCGGTGGCGCGGTGACCGCGATGCCCCGCCCCGTCGTGATTTTCGTCCAGGCTCGGGCTCAGGCCCTCAATCTTGGCCTGTCCACTCGAGCATCGTCTCGCAATCTTTCAAGCGAGCCATGGCAAGGCGGGACGAGGCAAAGAGCTTCTCGAGGCGCATCGACTGCCAATTCAGGGCGTCGGCGACCTTAGCCTCCATAGCCTCCAGCCGTACGGTGAGGCCCTCGATCATGCGCATGTGCTGCTCGCACTTGGCAACCGCCGAACCCTCGAACTGAAGCGGCACACCTAATTATGTTGGGCATGCCGTGCAGGGAAGAGTGGGACATGTTGACATGGGCACTGTCGTACCCGAAATTGTCCTACAACTTCCCCTCCTGCAGGATGGGCGCGACGACGCCGTCTGGTTTCTCGATCGGCGTCGTGCCATCGGTCGCACCAGTGAGGTCACCACGCCAGTGCCTCACGAACTTGGCAAGGTAATGCGGATGTTGACGTGGACCGCGATGTCCGACCGCCCTATGGCCCAGTAGGTTGAGCGCCGGAGGCGCCCAGCCCGCCTGGCGGAGCGCGCTGCGACTACTGTGATGAACCCTTCGGCATCAACATTGCCCAGCCCGAGGAGCAGCCACAAGCATTGGTCATGGAGGTCTGCGATGAGAGCGGAGGCAAACATCGGAGCACAATCGTGCGAATGCGAAAGGAACTGCTGCGTGTCCAGCTCAGGCATCTGCACCTAGAATTCGAATAAAGAATGGCAAAGGAATGACTAAGCAGGATGATAAGAAACAAACAAAACTATGGCGAATACTAAGGCAGGACATGTTGAGCATATGAGACCCACAGTGGCATACACCAGGTCAAACAAGCTTGCAAGGAACAGTGACGCGACCTCGTCGCCGATGACTCGCTGCCCATACCAGACGGCGGATGCGTAGGTTACCGGGCCACATTCCACAGAGACGAAGCGGGAGGAGAGGAGGAGGAGGAGGAGGAGGAGGAGGAGGAGGAGGAGGAGGAGGAGGAGGAGAGGGATATGATGAATCGGAATACTTAAGGAGGAGGGGTGAGGAGAAAGGAGGAGTAGGAGAGGAGGAGGGAGGAGAAGAGGGAGGTGAAGAGGATGGGGGAAGAGGAAGAGGGGAGGGGAATCCTCGAAGGCGGGAAAGGCGTTCGACCCTCGACACTCTGGCCACCTCCGGAATGCGGCGTCAGAGAGGGCCTTTCGCGGGGAGTCGCGGTCGCGCGCCACCGAGCTCGGGCTCGGGCAGCTGCGCTGGTCGTCGGCCTCGATCCTGGAAGCGAGAGGGGGGGGATACGTACACAGGAAAATGCTAAACGAGGGGGCAGAGGGGGGTAGGATGGGGGCAAGAAGGGCGCCGGAAAGTGGGGCAGCAAGGGTGGCTGGCCCAGAGTGGCCCCAGCTTTCCAAAGGAGGCACAGAGGTCCCCCGGAGCAACACTCACGAGGCCCAAAGAGCTCCAGGGACTCCATTCAACCTGGCTCGAAGAGGCTAAGGAATAGTTGTTTACGCTTTCTGTTTACAACCCCCGAGTGTCGGAGTGGCCCTGCTCTGGGAATCATGTGCACATTTGCCTCTATAGCGCGCTATGTCTAGACCGCAAAACATCTCACGGTATTCGCCATCAAACCGCGCCAGCCTGAATCCTAAATCCCAAGAGAGGGAAGGGGGTGAAACAGTGCCTGGAGGAGGTGAGATGACTATACATACAAATATATATATATATATAGAGAGAGAGAGAGAAAGGAGAGAGAGAGAGAGAGAGGAGAGAGAGAGAGAGACGAAAGAGAGAGAGAGAGAGAGAAATATTCAAAAAGACAGTGCTTGCACTTAGGGGTTCTTACCTCTGCTCCAAGGAATTGGGCTGGTGTTGAGTTATGGCTGCTACGTAGCCGCCATCGCGGCCCCGTCGCCGCCTCGTCGCCGCCCGCCGCCTGGACCTATTTGTCGGTGTGGCGGCCATGCAGCCGCAAGCGTCGCCGCCCCGTCACTTCTTATTCTTCGTCTTCCCGTCTGTTCCCTGGCTTGTCCTCGCTATCCGCGGATTTCCTGCCTCCTCCTCCTCCTCCTGGCTTGCCCTCGCTCTCGCCCTGGGGGGGGGGAGGGCTGCGATTTGCGGAACTGCCGCCACTCTCAGGAGCTGCTGGGGGGTCCAGCGGAAAGAAGCGACACCCAGACTCAAATTGGACCTCGCCATGGATGGCTGCGATATGCCGAGATGTCGCCAATCTCGAGGGGTGATGAAGGATCCTGCTGAGTGAGGGACCACTCAAACTCAGACTGGACCTCGCCATCCCTGGGTGGGTTCGGTCTGCGAAACTCTCGCCACGTTCGAGGCCGCTGGGGGCCGGCGGAGCGAGGCACCACTCAGACTCAGATTCGACCTCGGTGGCTGCGATCTGCGGAACGCTCGCCACTTTCGAGGGCTGCTGGCAGGTCCACTGGAGTGGCGCGCTACCCAGATTCAGACTGGACCTCGCCATTCCTGAAAAATTGCGATCTGCGAGATTGTCGCCACTTTCGAGGGCTGCGGGGGCTGTATTTTGGCACGCCCTGAACATGATTTGACGAAATGTCCTTCGGACCTGCGCACTCCTCCAATTATCCCTTGTGATGCGTGCCAAGCCTATGCCTTCAGGTGCCATGCGCATTCTTTGACGTCATTGCCCGTCGGACCTGCGCACCTACCTGACCGGTTCGGAGCACGTCAAACCTGCGCAAAGATTGGCAGTGGAGATGGAGGTGGGGGGGGAGGAAGATGCTAAGTCATTTTTCCTTCGGGCATTCAACCGTGGAGCCTCCCACCCAGAGCGCGTTGGAACGATGTGGTGCCATCCTCGGACGCCGTGAACATTATGTCGCGAAAATGTACCTCGGACCTGCACCGTATAAGAAAACCGTATATGTACAAATAGATTACGCAACTATATAAGTGTATAT